TTTTATGTGATTTAGGTGCTAGTATTAATTTAATGCCCTTTTCTGTTTTTAGGAGATTGGGAATTGGTGAAGTGAAGCCAACGACCATGTCATTGCAACTAGCGGATAGGTCCATAAAACACCTGAGAGGGATAGAGGAGGACGTGTTAGCGAAAGTGGACAAGATAATTTTTCCAGCTGATTTTGTGGTTCTAGATATGGAAGAGGATAAGGAAATTCCTCTCATTTTGGGCCGACCATTCTTGGCCACGGGAAGAGCACTAATAGATGTGCAGGAAGGAAAGTTACTGTTGAGAGTTCAAGATGAAACAGTAACTTTCAATGTCTTTGAGACGATGAAGTTCCCATCCGAAACGGATTCGTGTTTTAGTGTCGATGTGGTGGACAAATTGGTAGTGGAATCCATTGAAGAAAACACTCAACAATTACCTCTAGAAGCATGTATAGCCAAATCCAAAACAGTAGAGGTAAATGATTCGGCAAGTAATGAATGTGTTAGGTTGTTAGAAGCACTTCAATCGATTGATGAGAGTTAGGATTTAGAATTTGAGGAGTTTGATTTCGAAAAAGAGAAGGAAAAGGAAAAAAATGAAGAACCTCCAAAGCTTGAGTTAAAACCTTTACCCCCACCTCAAATATGTATATCTTAGGGACTCAAAAGCCTTCCCAGTGATCATTAGTTCAAGATTGAGTAAATTGGAGGAAGAGCGGTTGATTAGGGTGTTAAGGGAACATGGACTAGCAATTGGATGGATGATTTTGGACATTAGAGGCCTCTCACCATCATTTTGCATGCATAAGATACTCATGGAGGATGATATTAAGCCTAGGGTGCAACCACAACGAAGATTGAATCCTTCGATGAAGGAAGTGGTGAGAAAGGAGGTGGTGAAACTCTTAAAAACAGGGATTATCTATCCTATTTTCGACAGTCCATGGGTGAGCCCGGTACAAGTGGTTCCGAAGAAGGGAGGTATCACGGTAGTAAGGAATGAGAGTAATGAATTGATACCAACTAGGATGGTGACGGGCTGGAGAGTGTGCATTGTAACGCCTCACTTGAGGTATGTAACTAATTTACGTTGCATTGCTTGAATCTTTATTGTTTTGCTCTTAATTGAGTTGTTATATTGTTTGGTTGGTCCTTGGTTGAATGGATGTTTTGAGTTGGTTGAGTGGTTGCCCTGAAATTTGTAAAGACTTGGTGAATTTTTGTGTTACAAACTTCGCCGGGCGAAGAAGAAGCTTCGCCGTGGCGAGGAAGTCCTGCAACCTACAGTGTAGGTTCTGTCAGTTTTCGTCGGGGCGAAGAAAGATGCTTCGCCGAAGCGAAGGACTTGGAAAAAATGTGTATTGAGATTCTAGAGAATTCTTCCATAGGGGCAAAATTACCTTTCTACCCTTAATTAGCAGGAAAAGTGGGGAGTAAAATGTAAGAGAATTTTATGAAGAATATGCTAGAATGTTGATTACTGCTTGGACACTACTTTCATCATGCCTCTTTCTGACCCAAAGAGCATGAAACTGAGATGTCAGTGAATGAGTTACAAGTGGTATTGAAGCAAAATCTGCACCACCATGCAGACGCGGTGGATTGTGTTGTTAAAGTTTGGTAGAAGTGTGGATGGTATAGAAGAATTTGAGAGGAATATTTGAAGTGTGTTTTCCTTGCAGGTTATATGATGTTTTAAAGGAGATGAACTCCTATTTTGGATGATTAAGAAAGAAATATCATTAACAATAGAATAGAGTTTATGTATGCACACATATTGTTTGATGACATGTCAAAGAAGCATGAGTAGAAGTAGAGAACCTTACTTTAGCAACATAGCATATTTGGATGTCATGATGTATATAAGCAAGATTTTAGGCATGAGCCATCCACTATGATATGTTAATTGAGTAATCACATGAGAAAGAATTGAAAAATGAGAAAGAAACACTCTTATAATAGAAATAAAGAAAAGAACTAATTCTCTTAGAATAAAGAGAAAGAAAGAACTAGCACTAGCATAAAATGATTATTAGTGCTACAGAAAAGAAAGAAAAGAAAATAGGTCGTGCGATGGGGATCCCGTGAGTGTAGAGTTACCCGAATGTAAACCGCCATGAGAGAGAGCGGTTTCTGCCATGAGAGAGCGGAATGAGAATGAGAAACATAATTTGTATGGCCGTGAGAATACATGCAGATGAGGGTATACACGAGAGAGAAAGTACACTCACATGACCAAGGGTTCCAATCCAGCATCGACCAAGACCGGCAAAGAAAGAATAAGAAAAGAATAGAAAAAAAAATGCATTGTTATACTTAAATCTCATCCATGTATGGTTAGGATATTCTCCATGGGTGATGATAATGAAGAAAGAAAAGAATGGTAAGAGTTAGAAGTAGAGAAAGAATAGAGAGATTGAAATAGAGAGAGTAACAAGAGTACGAACAAATTTGTACGGGGATTATAGAGTAGAAGATTTACTTACTGAGCATTTTTGTGCTCACCCCATTGTTTTCTCTGGTTTTCAGGACATGGTGAGAACGTGGTCGGATGGACGTCGGCAAGCGGGGAGACTTTACTGCACAGTCCTGTCTTTTTGAGAGTCTTTGTACAAATGATGTTGTACTTTGTAAAGAATGTATTTATAAGTAAAGAAACTTTTTGGACCAACCTTTTGATAAATATACTGTCTTTTTATTGATATATTTATGAATATGATAGTAGAAAGAAGTTGTTACACTAACGCAGTTCTATTAAGAGCTGTCAATAGGGTGGTGATTTGCTGCTAAGGAGTGTATCAAGATATGGTGATTGATAGAGGATTCATCACTCCCGGGTACGGGAGAAGTATATACGGCGCAATTTGGTATATGGCAATGACACTAAAAACTGTGGCCATAGTGGGATTGAGTTGTTGCTCTATCCGGTTTATAATAGTCATTGGTCCAGAAACTGAATACATAATATCAAGAGTAACCGGAGGTTGACACTATTCTATGCCTTCGTCTCGTCGAGATACATGATGATGAAAGGATCGAATTGTATGGTAACCATATCGTTGATAGGTAGCTACTTTGTGAATCCGAATCTATCGGGTGGCCATGATGCCTTGCTAGGGGCCAATCTTGGTCTGTGTTAGTGAGATGATAATCCGAGGATTATACTAGTTTATTTAAACTTTTAGGCCGGATTTTAGATACTTCTTAGTCATTTTGCCTGAATGATACTTAATTCCTTATTTCATGTTTCAGGTTAAAAATGGAAATTTGGAGCGAATAAAGGTGGATTTGGGTTTTTGGACTCAGAAGCATGCGGAGGGCAATTCTGGAATTTCAGAATTCTTCACGGAAGCTTCACCGTGGCAAAATGGGCCAGTGACGCACCAAATTCAGATTCTATCTTCGCTGCGGCGAGATTCTTCTTCGCGGGGTGAAGTCTCATACTACTCTTTTGTAAAACGCACAGTTTCGTGTTAGGCTAAGTTGTATTATTTTGATGAGGTATAAATTGGAGACTTAGTCTATTTGTCTAGGGCGGTGTTGGGTGATAGAGGAGTTTTTCACATATTTTCATATGATTTTTGGTGATTTTTGGATTAACAAGGTTGGAAGATCGAGGAAACCAGTGGATCATCAAATGGGGAGATTCTTTTCCTTTTCTTTTGTATCCATTATGTGAACCTTGAGTTTTTCATTTCTTTTAATTGTTTATTTGATTTAGCCATGAACTAACCTATTTGGGTTAGGGTTTTGTTGAGTGGATTCAATGGGTTAGAGAATTGATGATTATTAATTCATATAATTTGTGTTGATTGGTGATTAATTGTTTTAGTGTTGGATGTGATGAACATGATGAGATCGAGAGATATTTATGTTAAGCATCTTGGATAATGCCGTATTATTGGATGCTAGAGATAGATTCAAGAACCGATGAAATCAATCTAGGATCTTGTGCTTAATGAACTTAGATTTTTAACTTTTCATTTGTTGGGTGGAAGGTAATAGGAAGAGAGGACAACATAGCTTGAGAAGGTATGTTGGACACCTTAGAGAGTTTGATTAACAATCAATGCATGAGAAATTGAATTTAGTTTAATTCTTAAAGTAACCATAGAGTCCGAATGAAGGCGAAACCCTACCGTGTGAATTGATTTTATGTATATTCTTGCTTTCATAGTTTAAGTTTAATTTAGTAAATTTTGTTTTAATTATAGTTTTAATTTTTCCCTCAAATCCAAAAAGAATTCGATAGCTTCAATTGAGAACGTTAGGAAACTTAGTGCTTAGCGACCAATCCTCGTGGGAACGATACTCACTATCATATATTAATTGTGTGATTAGTATACTTGCTACATATTGTATGTTGTCGTAAACACGCATCAAGTTTTTGGCACGTTGTCGGGGACTGAGTTTCAGTTAACATTGAGTTCTTCTATAGTTAGCTAGATTGAAGTTTTAATTTTTGTTTAAATTTTTAGTCGGTTTGTGATCTCACTTTCCTTGTTGATTTTGTGCAGTTTATGCGAAGAGCGAGACGTCAGCCGTGGTTCCTGTGATCTGAGATTGAGAGAACCACCAAACGACTTACAGAGAAGAAGAGAAAGAGAAGAGAGAATTTTTTGGTTGAAACAGAAGAGATAGTTGTGAAATGGCAGAACCAGAAAACATGACACTAAGGGAATTCTCGTTCCCACGGTTAATGGCAGTGGGTCGAGTATTACTAGCTAGGTGCAAGCCAACAACTTTGAGATTAAGCCGGCAATCCTTCAGATGATCTAGCAGTCGGTAAGGTTTAATAGAGATTTGAAGGAAGATCCGAATCAGCATATGCAAATTTCTTGGAAATATGACACCTCAAGTCACAGGAGTATCGTATGACGCCATTAGACTGAGGTTATTCCCATTCTCATTGGGGATAAAGCAAAGGGGTGGTTATGCACTACACACTAGGAACTTCACAACTTGGAATGATCTAGCACATAAATCCTTACCAGTCTCCTAACGTGCAAAACTCAGAAATGATATCCCATCATTTCTATCAAGAGTGACCGTGAGTCATTGTATGAGGCTTGGGAGAGGTACAAGGAATTAATGAGGAAATGTCCACACCAGGGTTGCCAGTGTGCTTCAAGTCAAACATTCTACAATGGACTGAGGTAATGTGCAAACCATGGTGGGATGCAGCATCAGGAGCCTTGCAGAAACAAGACACTAGAGAACGGCGCCACACGCATCACATCCCAGAGTTCGCAACCTAGCAGCCGTTTCTACCAGACCCGCCCCCCCAACCGCCCACACCACTACTAACCCCAAGACACCCCCCCACACAAGAGACGAAGTCACATACCCACAACAGAACACATCTTTGGGCGACTATCCATGAAGCCCCCCTCTGATGCATCCACTCCACCCACCAGCCCCTCCTCCGGCCACCCCAACTAACACACCGCCCCCGGCCCCACTCACAGAAATAGCTTGGGATCCCAGCAGGTCAATCCGCCTTACAACAGTACCTCACCCCCCCCTAACTCCCCCCCCCCCCCCCACCCCCCCCTCGTGCAGTTCCCGCGCAGGAACCCACCCCCCACCAACCCCACCGCACCCCCACACCACCTGTGCCAAACGACCACCCCGCCAACACAACAACCCGCAGAGTGGCTGACACAACGTGGGATCCTTCCCGCAGAACCACATTTGCCTACGTCATCCAAACTCACCACAGATAAGCGCCGCTAACCGTGACACCACCCTAACCTTCCAGCACACAGCGCACTATGCATAATAATGTTCATTAATCAATAAAAGGCATTTTATTCTATATCGCATAAATCATTTTTATTGCAATATGTTTTGATATATGTCCTAAGAATGGTAGAACCGTGACGAGGGCATCAAGTGTTTCAAATCTTGATAGTGAGAACCCTATGAGCACAAATGGTGGCCATTCTAGAAACGTCCGTAGCCCTAGTATTATTCTGAAGTAAGGGCACAGATAATACTGTAAGGCTATCATAGTGTTGAATGACCCTGTCAAAAGGCAGTGACTGATCTCACTTGTCAAGGTTGTTTGGTGACAACCTGGGGCAACACATGGGTGCTTGCTGTAGGCAGATATACCGCAAAAGTTCACTGGACTGACCCACCAGAGGATTCCATAAGGATGGTAACCCAGTGTCTATGGAACAAATCCTCTAACGAATGGTGGTGCATGTGATCCTTAGACTTGAGATCACGGGAGCACCTTGTGCAACGATTGGTGCAGTTTGACACTAGCCTAACTGTAACGCCCCACTTGAGGTACGTAGTTAAGATTTGATGAATGGCTTGAATGTTTGTTGATTTATCTTCATTTGAGTCTGTATGTTGTTAATATTGCTTGGTTTATCCTTAGTTGAAAGGGTGTATTGGTTTGGTTGAGTGAATGCCCCGAAAATTTGTAAGAATTGGCGAAATTTGGATGTTACAGTCTTTGTCGAGGCGAAGAAGAAAGCTTCACCGCGGCGACGAAGTGCTACATCCTGTGTAGCTGCTGTGAGTTTTCGCCGGGCGAAGAAATAGCTTCGCCGCGGCGAAGACTCGGCTGAATTTTTCCTTGAGTTTTAGGGAATTCTTCCTTTTGGGACTCAAATGACCATTCTACCCCTAATTAGCAGGAAAAGTGGGGAGTGAAATGCAAGGAAATTTCATGGAGAATAGGTGGAATGGGGTTGTTTTTGCAAAGAATGAAAGGTCATAAGTGGAATTTCAAAGAAGAAGCAAGGGTATATTGGGAAAGAGTGGAGAAAATATGAGATAGTAAGGGTTTAGCTTTAGAAACCCTTTCATTTGCTTCTTCACCACCACCTCTTTCATCTTTCAATTCTCTCGAATTTTCATTCAAGTTTCCAAGGATCTTTGAAGAACTTTTGACTAGAAGTTGTTACAAGTTGATCCTAAGCACTAAAAGGTGAGAATCCTTACTATAGATGTAAGTTTTATTGATAAAAGAGTAAGATCCTTATTAAGTTTGTATTGAAGGTTTAAGAGGAAGTATCAAGCCTTCAAGAGTAGAGAGCTTAAGTGGTTTCTCCTTGAGCTTAAGGTAAGTAAATTCACCTAAGTTGTGATTTACTTGATTGAATGATGTGTAGAGATTTTATATATGTGCTTAATGCTTGAATTTCTAGGTTGGCAAAGAGTGATGAATTCATGAATGAGTTCAATGTGTTATATGAAAGAATTTACCAATGAGAAGGGTGGATTGTGTTGTTAAAGTTTGGTAGAAGTGTGGATGGAATTAGAAGAATTTGAGAGGAATATTTGAAGTGTGTTTTCCTTGCAGGGTATATGATGTTTTAAAGGAGATGAACTCCTATTTTGGATGATTAAGAAAGAAATATCATTAACAAATAGAATAGAGTTTATGTATGCCAACATATTGTTTGATGACAAGTCTAAAAGAAGCATGAGTAGAAGTAGAGAACCTTACTTTATGCAACATAGCATATTTGGATGTCATGAATGTATAAAGCAGTTTAGGCATGAGCCATCCATATGCATATGTTTAATTGAGTAATCACATGAGAAAGAAATATGAAAAAAGAGAAAGAACACTCTATAAATAGAAATAAAGAAAAGAACTAATTCTCTTAGAATAAAGAGAAAGAAAGAACTAGCACTAGAGCATAAAATGATTATTAAGTGCTACAGAAAGAAAAGAAAAGAAAATAGGGCGTCGATGGGGATCCCGTGAGTGTAGAGTTACCCGAATGTAAACCGCCATGAGAGAGAGCGGTTTCTGCCATGAGAGAGCGGAATGAGAATGAGAAACAATTTGTATGGCCGTGAGAATACATGCAGATGAGGGCTATACACGAGAGAGAAAGTACACTCACATGACCAAGGGTTCCAAACCATGCATCGACCAAGACCGGCAAAGAATAAGAATAAGAAAGAAAGAAAAAAAAGCATTGTTATACTTTATATCTCATCCATGTATGGTTAGGATATTCTCCATGGGTGATGATAATAGAAAGAAAGAAAAGAATGGTAAGAGTTAGAAGTAGAGAAGAATAAGAGAGATTGAACTAGAGAGAGTAAAGAGTACGAACAAATTGTACGGGGATTATAGAGGAGAAGATACTTACTGAGCATTTTTGTGCTCACCCCATTGTTTTCTCTGTTTTTCAGGACATAGGTGAGAACGTGGTCGGATGGACGTCGGCAAGCGGGGAGACTTTACTGCACAGTCCTGCTTTTTGAGAGTCTTTTGACAAATGATGTTGTACTTTGTAAGAATGTATTTATAAGTAAAGAAACTTTTTGGACCCAACCTTTTTGTAAATATACTTGTCTTTTTATTGATATATTTTAGATATGATAGTAGAAAGAAGTTGTTACACTAACGCAGTTCTATTAAGAGCTGTCAATAGGGTGGTGATTGGCTGCATCAAGGAGTGTATCAAGACTATGGTGGATTGATAGAGGATTCATCACTCCCGGGTAGGGAGAAGTTATCTAACGGCGCAATTTGGTATATGGCAATGACACAAAACTGTGGCCATAGTGGGATTGAGTTGTTGCCTATCCGGTTTTAAACAAGTCATGGTCCAGAAACTGAATACATAATATCAAGAGTAACCGGAGGTTGACACTATTCTATGCCTGTCTCGTCGAGATACATGATGATGAAAGGATCGAATTGTATGGTAACCATTCGTTGATAGGTAGCTACTTTGCTGAATCCGAATCTATGGGTGGCCATGTGCCTTGCTAGGGGCCAATCTTGGTCTGTGTATTAGTGAGATGATAATCCGAGGATTATACTAGTTTATTTAAACTTTTAGGCCGGATTTTAGATACTTCTTAGTCTATTTTTGCCTGAATTGATACTTAATTCTTACATTTCATGTTTCAGGTTAAAAATGGAAATTTGGAGCGAATAAAGGTGGATTTGGAGTTTTTGGACTCAGAAGCACTGCGGAGGGCAATTCTGGAATTTCAGAATTCTTCAGGAAGCTTCCACGTGGCAAAATGGGCCAGTGACGCCACAAATTCAGATTCTATCTTCGTGCGGCGAGATTCCTTCTTCGCCGCGGGTGAAGTTCATACTCTTTTTGTAAAACGCACAGTTTCGTGTTTAGGCTAAGTTGTATTATTTTGATTGAGGTATAAATTGGAGACTTAGTCTATTTGTCTAGGGCGTTGTGGAGTGAAGAGGGAGTTTTTCACATATTTTCATATTGATTTTTGAGTGATTTTTGGATTAACAAGGTTGGAGATTCGAGGAAACCAGTGGATCATCAAATGGGGAGATTCTTTTCCTTTCTTTTGTATCCATTATGTTGAACCTTGAGTTTTTCATTTCTTTTAATTGTTTATTTGATTTAGCCATGAACTAACCTATTTGGGTTAGGGTTTTGTGAGTTTGGATTCTAATGGGTTAGAGAATTGATGATTATTAATTTCATATAATTTGTGTTGATTGTGTGGATTAATCTGTTTTTATTGTTGTATGTGATGAACAATGATGAGACGAGAGATAATTTATGTTAAGCATCTTGGATAATCACGTTGATTATTGGATGCTAGAGATAGACAAGAACCGATGAAACAATCTAGGATTCTTGTGCTTATGAACTTAGATTTTTTAACTTTCATTTTGTTGGGTACGGAAGGTTAATAGGGAAGAGTAGGACAACATAGCTTGAGAAGGTATGTTGGAACCTTAGAGAGTTGATTAACAATCAATGCATGAGAAATTGAATTTATTAATTCTTAAAGTTTAACATAGAGTCCGAATGAAGTCGAAACCTACCCGTTTGTTTGAATGATTTTATCGTTTAATTCTTGCTTTCATAGTTTAAGTTTAATTAGTAAATTTTGTTTTAATTATAGTTTTAATTTTTCCCTCAAATCCAAAAAGAATTGATAGCTTCAACTTGAGAACGTTAGGAAACTTAGTGTAGCGACCAATCCTCGTGGAACGATAACTCCTCATTATATACTTGTGTGATTAGTATACTTGCTACATATTGTATGTTGTCGTAAACACGCATCAAGTTTTGGCACCGTTGTCGGGGACTGAGTTTTCAGTTAACATTGAGTTCTTCTATAGTTAGCTAGATTGAAGTTTTAA